AGGAATAGGGAGGCAAGTGGGTGATGGAAGTGGGCAGTTGAGGAGGGAGGGTGGCAGATGAGTGAGGGGTGGGTGATGGCAGCAGGCAGGTAGGTAAGGAAATGGGGCACTAGGAGATAGGGTGGCAGACTGGTAAGTGAAGGGGTAGTGTGGGAAATGTGTGAAGTGACAGGTAGATGAGGGTGACAGGTGGGTGGGAGGTTTAGAGCTCCAGTTGGTGGAATGTGGGATCAGAGTGGCAGGTGGGTGATGGTGTAACATGCCAGCTTAGCGTGCTATGTGGGTGGCAAAGTGGTAGAGTGATAGGTGGTCGAGGGTGTAGGTTGTCAGATGGTGGGTGTGGGAATAGGATTTGAGGTGGATAAAAGGGTGCGGTGCCATGTGGATGGGTGAAGAGTTATGGAAATGGGTACAGTACTGGAGGATGGCTAATGGGCACGATGACAAGGGTGGGACTGGGGCATTGTATGGTCAAGTTTCGGTGATAGGGAGGGGGTCCAAGGTGTGGCATCAGGTATCAGGGTGTGGGTTGGTCAGTTGGATATCTGGGATAGAGGTTCATGTTTTCAATGTGGGAGGGGGAGAGATGTCCAAGTTGAGTGTTCAGGCAGTGAGGTGGTTGGAAGCAAAATGTGGGGACAGATGTTGGGTTGAGGTTCAGTGTGAGTAATCGGTGGAGGAGGGGTGTCAATTGCATCATTACCAACAAGTTAGAACAAGTTTTAATCCCTTTAGTTTTTCTCAGGCAACTAATAAGTCGATGCCCCCAAAATCTTCATTCGTAACTCAGAGTTGGTGATCTATTTTAGGGGCTCCAGATGCCGAGTAATTGCCCACCGGATGTTTAAACATACCAGGCACATTCCACCAATTGACATCCTTCAGTAGCCAATTAATTCCCACTTTAGGTTTTCAACCTGTTGCCACTGATTGTGACCCAGTGACAGGCCGGGGGCTACACCTTAAATAAACCCTGGCATGTTTGCTTGTGAGCTGCCCCTGGGGGATTGGCCTCCCTCATTCAAAGACCTACACAGCCTCATGGTGATCGGCAACAGGAAGTGGACTGGTGGGGAGGGGAAGGGAGGCAGGGCAGCAGCCCTCATTGCCCCTTCCATGCTCACATCTCACCCCTAATCCCACTTTCTTATGAACCTCCATCCTACCATTACCCACCTGTGGCCTGGGATCCAGCAATAATCATAAGTCTGAAGTGGCTGTGGTACCGATGTTAGCTATTACCTACTAAGTGGCATGGATGGTCAACATGGCTGCTGGCCTCTTATTAGTCAGTAGCCTTCAGATAACAGAATTTCCTTCCCTAGGATCCTTAATGCTGGGAAGGTCCATTGCTGTCCAATTAAGTGGTGCTTAATTTGGCAGGCCTTTCCTGCAAGTAGTGACATGGGCTTTTTCTGGCCTTCCAGCATGACTTCCAATGCCTCCTTTTTTAAACTCGCTCATAGGATGTGGGCGTTGCTTGCTGGCCAGCATTTAGTGCTCGTCCCTAGCTGCCCTTGAGAAGGTGGTGGTGAGCTGCCTTCTTGAACTGTTGCAGTCCACCTGCTGTTGTTTGACCCACAATGCCCTTAGGGAAGGAATTCCAGGATTTTGACCCAGCGACAACGAAGGAGCAGTGATACATTTCCAAGTCAGGATGGTGAATGGCTGAAAGGGAAACTTGCAGGTGGTGGCATAGCCATATATATGCTGCCCTTGTTCCTCTAGATGGAACTGGTCGTGGGTTTGGAAGGTACTGTCTGAGGATCTTGGGAAAATTTCTGCAGTGCATCCTGCAGATCATACACACTGCTGTTACTGAGTATCAGTGATAGAGGGAGTGGATGCTTATGGATGTGGTGCCAATCAAGTGAGCTGCTTTCTCCTGGATGGTGTCAAGCTTCTTGAGTGTTGCTGGAGCTACACCCATCCAGGCAGTCACACCCCTGACTTGTGTCTTGCAGATGGTAAACAAACTTCGGGGAGTCAGGAGGTGAGTTACTTGCTGCAGTATTGCCAACCTCTGACCTGCTCTTGTAGCCACTGTTTTCATGTGAGTTTCTGATCAATGATAACCCGAAGGATGTTGATATTAGGGGATTCACTGATGGTAACAGCATTGAATATTAAGGAGCAGTGGTTAGATTGTCTCTAATCGGAGATGATCATGGCTTGGCATCAAATTCCACTCACCCATATTTACACGTATATACACGCACATACAACCATGCACACACACATTCACATGCACACAAATACATTCGCACATGCACACAGACACATACACATGTACACATACATGTACACTTGTACAGTCACATGGACATACACAAATACACACTCACAAAGGTACTCACATACAAACACACACAGTGTACAAGCTCACATGTATACACACATACATGGGCATGCACGCACTCACATGAGCACATGCATATACATACACAGACACATTGTTCTGCTTTAAATCCATAGACTGCTGCCCCATCACACCTCCCATGACCGTCTGACGGTAATCTATCCTACCTCTCGTAATCAGCCCCTCACAATTGATGCCTCTCCTGATTATCATTGCCCTCTTTCTCCAGGTCAAACCCGTCTGCTGCTTGTTCCCAATTCTCCCTCTCCAGGTTGTTCCCTCTCTTTCCTGATCACTCCCTTTCTTATAAACAAGGATTGTTGTGTTGCTCTGCATGGATATTAGAGTGCAGCCTTGAAGATGACAGCAGCTGTTTGGGAGGATTGTATTTGAGAGTTAACTGTTAGCTATTGGTCCCGTTATTACTTGTCTGCTTAGAATAGCTCACACAAGGGCAGAGACAGCCAAAGAAGAAATAGAGGCAGAGAAGTTGATGCCAGATTCCCACCTGTAATATTTCTTCAATGAAATGGAACAGGAGAGAGATTGAATTGAATTAACTTTATTGTCACATGAGTACAATGAAAAGTTTACAAGTCCTCACTCACAGTGCCATCTTAGGTACATGGGTAACTAGGTTCAGATTCTTGAGTACAAATTCTTCAGGGGGAAAATATTAGGAAAATAAAGAAATAAAAAGTCCAACATTACAGAAATTCCAAAATACAAAATCATAGTAATAAATTAGATAAGCAAAGATATAAAAAGTTCAGAATAACAGTGCTTCCATCGTAATATAACAAAGAAAAAAGAAATTTTTAAAAACGAGAGAATTTAAGACAAAGTCCACTGTCAATTTCACGGCTCTGGGCTTGCGATAGAGCTCAGGATGTGTGTCTGTGTGTTTGTATGTGTGTGTGTGTCTGTGTGTATGTCTGCCAGTGTCTGTGTGTTTGTCTGTTTGTCTGTGTGTGTGCGTTTGTCTGTGTGTGTGTGTGTGGTGATACCAAAAGTGTCACCCAGAGGAAGATGGCATCGACTGTACATAGCAGCACTCTCAACACCAGGAATGCAGGCTGACACTCCACCTCAATCTAACTAGCATTTCTTTGTCAAAGACATAACCACGGGAGAGACACAACCCAAGCGAAATGCTTGCTTTCCACGACACGCACAGTAAATCGATAGCTGCTTGGTGCCTGGTTTCTGTGTTCATTATTGTCACAGACTTATTTAAAACCTGAGCTCCTGCCCTGAGTCCCCCATTAAACCGGGATTACCAGGAATCAGCGGAATTCTATTGGAAGATGGGTGGGAGTTATCGTTTTGACTTGAGAAACAGTCGGGAGATTTTAGCAGTTATGAGCAGTTTTCTGGTCTGACAGACAAACAGTGGGACTGGCTACAAATAATGAATGGCCTCAAACTCCTTGTCCGGAATTTGACAGTTGCTTGTCTGGACGTGACCAACTCCTAAACAGGCAGGGGCACAGAACCGTCAAAGGTACAGACGGACCAGAGGCAGAGCAGTGTACCGTCCACCTACTGACACTGGCAGGTGGACGCTCTAGTGTGGCATTTATATCTGATAATGATAAATTCCAAATATTCGACGTGTTATTCAATAAAATTAATCCCTGTTCGAGTCAGATCTTTTGATGACAATCTTACCCAACATCTCTTGTTATTTGAATGAATTTTAGCTTTTTTTTCTACGTTACATTTTTCGAAATGTCTTTGATATCACGAATTAGTGCAAGAAGTTGCATATTTACACATAAGACAATTGCACTATCGGTGCTTGTATTATTTGTATTGTGTTGTATTATTTGGGGAAAATGTCGTGTAAGGAAGAGACGTGTTATGTACTACAATAAAACAAATAAAATAAAACAACTGGTCTTTTACAAAGGGGTAACAAAACATTGAAAACAAGCACAGAAACTGCTAGAGAAATCCAGCAGGTCTCTAGCAGCATCTGTGGAAGGCAAACAGAGTTAACGTTTTTAAGTCCGATGCGACTCTTCAAAACCTGAAACGTTAACTCTGATTTCTGTCCACAGATGCTGCCGGACCTGTTGAGTTTCTCCAGCAACTTGTGTGCTGGTTCCAGATTTCCAATATCTCTCCAGTAGTTTGTTTTTTTTTATTTAAGTTGGCAATAGTAAACAAGATGCTACAAGTAACCCGTCAGAAACAATAAAATACAGCTGTAAACGTCGATCTGAGGTCAAAGCGGGAAGCTGGGGATATTGAGACAAGGTGTAGAGCTGGATGAACACAGCAGGCCAAGCAGCATCAGAGGAGCAGGAAGGCTGACGTTTTGGGTCTGGACCCTTCTTCAGAAATGGGGATATTGACAGCTGCTCAGTCGGTCTCTCTGAAGAAGCCAGTCACGTAAATATTTCAGTTCCATTCCCATATCGGAACTCGAGCCGAAGTAATGCTATTACAGCTCAAATATTAAGGCTACCATATGGTTAACAGTGCTGTAACATGAGGGCGCGATTCAAGGCTGTGGAATAGTTGTACATGCATGTGGAATTCAGGAGTGAGTGGGACCAGTGTGATAATTGGATTATGAGATCTATCCCCTCTCCTCCAAAAGTCCTCAATGAGGCTGTCGCTGAGGCTGTGCGCAATGTCAGTGCTGGGATTGAAAAATATGCCAGAAACCATTGGGTTTAACCCGACTAAGCGAAGGAGTGGGAAAGTGAGAAGCTTTAATCGGGAGCAGAATGCAGGAGCACGCTATTCGAGGAAGAAACTGCAGATCGTGATCTGCCTGCTTTCAATGGAGCTGTGCGAACGCTTTACTTACTTTGGGATAGTGTGCAACATGATTCTATATTGCACTCTGAAACTGGGCTACAAGAACTACCAGGCTGCCATTATCAACCTGTGTTTTGTTGGAGCAAGCACCTTGACTCCTGTGCTGGTGGGATGGTTTGCAGAGTCTTGCATGGGGAGAACCAAAGTGGTTTACATCTGTGCACTCCTTCACTTTATAGGTATGAGTGTGTTAGTGTGGCTCTCACATTTGTTATCGTTTGTGCACTGCACTCTTACAGTCTCATGTGCAGCATGCAGGTAAGGGGGAAATAAATACGGGAAAAGGGGCGTTAATGTTAATAACATGAATTTATTATGTCTATTCTGGAGATGCTGACAGTGACAGTTCTCCCTAATTGCCTTTGAGAAGATGCTGGAGAGCTGCCTGGAACTGCTATAGATACATCCACAGTCTTGTTTGAAAGAGAGTTCAGGAGCTTTGACCAAGGAATGCCAAGAAAATTCCAAGTCAGGAGAATGTTATGACTTGGAAGGGGACCTGGAACTGGAGGTGCTCTGGATGCTGGAGGTTACAGGTTTGTTGTTAAGTGGGTGACAGTCATCATTCTAATCCAGCAAGAGCCATTTTTAAGCAAGTTATTTCATGGACTTCCAGGAGACTTTCAATATTAAGATCAAGTAAAAATTCCCATTTTTACAACATTAAAAATATCGATTCAAACACGAATTTGCAGAGGTCCATTACTGCTGAGTTCCAATGATCGGCACAGTTGGCAGTATAATGGGCATCTGTAGGTTGACTGTCATGATGCACATAACAGTGGTTGTACAAAAAGAAAGACAATCTTAGTGCTCTTGAAGAGAATTATATGGAGTTGTTCTCTTTTACCAGTAAGCCAGAGGGTAAATGCACTGTCCTTGCCCTCCCTGTTGGGAACTACACCCGAAGGTAGTGTAGGGTGAGAATTAGTCCGATAGTATTGCAGCACCACCTTCAAACTGTGCTTCCATCCCATGCGCTCCCTCCTGGGAGTGTGGATTGAAAAAGGTGCTCAATGTTCTTCCAACAAACATGGGAGTTTAAGCTTGACTGTTCTTTCTAAAGCATTATCACATTTCAAATTCGCAGATATTTGCTAGTCATGAAAGAAGTTTTTTTTCAAAAAAAGTATTTGCTATTTTGTTCTTCATTCCTTTAAATTACTAAGAAGTTACTCCTGTACACAAATTGGAAATAGTATTAACAGTGGAAATGCATATTTCTATTTAAATATTTTTTCTTCACAAATTTGTGCTTGTTGAGAGATTCTACTTAGTCTCCTGTTCAACGAGAGTCAGAACCTGTACAAATTGGTAATATCACTGCAATATAGAAATCGTTTAAAACTGCAGTGATACTTAACAACCACACAGCCAGCCCACAGAGTAAGAAATTATACCCAGATTACAAGCTGAGCAGATCTGGCCATAACTGTCAGTGCTGATAGGAAACTGAGGAGCACAGCTGGTCACAAAGGCAGATAGCGGCCAAATGACCAGAAGGCAACTTAGAAGGTGGTTGTGGAGCATGATTGCACTGACTTACAGCTCCTGGGGCTTAGCATTATATGGATGCAGAAGACCAAACCAGAAATATTTGCAAGAGTAAACCACAAATGCCTCAGATTACACAACCTTGACTGGACAACATGTTACATTAGATGTGAGCTGTACTGTTGTATACAGAAAAAATGTGGTGTTAGTGTCTAACATAAAACAAAAAAAGATTAACATTAGTAACTCATCAATTAAAAACATATTTGTTAGCTATTGGAATATTTTTGCTAAACATATTGTAATTCTGTAAAACACTTTTTAACAAAGCAGTGAAGACTAAGTGGAACATAATGAGTTTGGCTATGATCTTCAGACTCTGTGTTTAGTTACAATGTGATAGAATCAAAACTGTATTTTGCAGTAATTTATTGCAAAAACATCATTTGAGCTTCTTTTCACTGGAAATGTGTATAGACAGATGTTTGATTTTATCCTGTTTTGTATCTGTCACTGCCAACACACTATTTAGTCAACACAAGTGAGAGTCCTGACTGTACATTGTCACAATATTACTATTCCATTTAATGCCATGATGTTATTGAGTACTGCAATCAGAGTTATACTGTAGGATTCATTGACTGAATACCTAATACAAATGCTTCCTTATAATGATCATGTAATTATTAATCAAATGAGTTTATTTTTACTGCAATTATTTAATTTTTACACGATCACAAACAAGGTCATGATCTGTTGCCCATCCGTAATTGCCCTAAAACTGGGTGTCTTGCTTGAACATTTCAGAGGATAGTTAAAAGCCAACCACTTTACGAGAGATCTGGAGACACATGTAGGCCTGATCAGTTAAGTACAGTAGATGTACTTCCCTAAAGGACATCAGTGAACTCGGTACATATTTATGACAACAGTTTCCTGGTCATCATTAGACTAGCCTTGGAGTCCAGATTTATTAATTGAATTCAAATTTTCATCCTCTGTCATAGTGGGATTTTAATCCATCTCCCCAGGGCATTAGCCTATGTTTACTGAGGTTACTAATCCATTGACAATACCACTATGCCAATGCCTCTCCCATTCATTCATATTTACGCAGAAAAGATGTAAAATTTCCTAATAATTGAAGTACACATTTTTGGTTTGCATTAAAAAAGAACTTGTATCAATATAATGTCTTTCATATCCTCAGGATGTTCCAAAGTATCTTCAAGTCAATTAATTATGTTTGCAGTGTAGTCACAGTTGTAATTTGGAGGAGTGTAGTTGCTAGAATACACACAGCACGTTCCCACAAACAGTAATTGGATAATTGATCAGATCCTTCCAGCATAAACCAGCAGGCCTGGCATTTGCCTGAAACTGGACCTCAGGGCTGATTGTCAGCTGCTGGCACATATTTTGCACCACCAAAGGTGGCCTGACCAGGTGACCATCTTAAAATTGGGCCTCCTTCAAACAATGTGACGGATAGAATTGGTGGGAAATGAGAATGTGAGGGTGGTGAATGCAAACAATAACACTCTACTGCTTTGAGTCAGAATTCTTCTGAAATTTCTGCTCCTCCAGGCTTTTCCTTCAAGCATTTTTCTTTTAAACAAACCTTCTAACTGGCAGACAGTGCCCAGGCCTTAGTAGACTACCGAAAGTCCAATCAATACCTGCTTTGCTCACAAGCTTCTCCAAGAGATCCCTGAACAGGCATCAGAGACCTTATTTACATACATGGGGTCTGTCACCCAGTCAAGGTGACTTACAGGAGTAGCTAGAAATACAGTACGACGAATTTAGTGGTTATCATGCTCATGTGTGGGCTGTTGCATTATGAGATTGGTCATCATTATGTAAAATAAGTATAATGTTAGGGAAATTCTCCCCAAAATGTGCTTGTGATGTTATTTACTAAATGGTAGCCAGAACACAAGGAAATTCTCCCTGATCACCTTCAAATTGTTGCAAGTGATCCTCTACATCGACTTGAAAAGATAGACAGAGCCCAAGTTTGGTATGTTGTCCAAAAGATGACTCTGCCAATTTAAGAGAATTTCCTCAAGATTAGAAAGTGTGTCCATGTCACCAGGATTGCGATGTTAAAATGAATCCTTGCTTTCATGTTCAAGATTGATGTCTTATATCCTCTATATAACATTGAGGAAAAGCAGATAATTCTGTGGTGTCCTGACCAACATTCCTCCTTCAGCCAACAACAGAAAAAAACAAGAATCAGTTCTCCAACTCCTTTGCTGTTTCTAATCGCTTGTCACACACAAATTGGGGGCAGTGTTTCCTGAGGGTGGACAAAGATGTTTCATTGCTTTCAAATGTTTTGGAGTGTCTTAGGTTGTGTTAAGCTGCTCTGAAAATGAAACAAGGGGTGATTAACTTTCTAAAGATGGCTTTCTGTTTGTTCCGCAAAGGTACAATGATGCTGCCTGTCGTTGCATTCCCCTTTGAGGATTTCTACATTGATACTCACCATAACATAGATGCTCTTGATAAGGGGGAGCAGACTGTGCTGTTTTTTATTGGCCTCCTGTCAGCATCTTTGGGCTCAGGAGGAATCCGGGCTGTTGTTTGTCCATTCAGTGCCTACCGGCTACAGGAGTACGATCAAAGCCAACTTCTAACATTCTTCAACTGGTTAGTGCTCTTCTGAACTTTTGTTTGTCTGATTTTTTTCTGGTTGAGATACAAGAATACAACTTAAGTTTGTTGATGTTGGACACTTCCTTAGTTTGCTGTGGCTTGTAAAAACAATGATTTAATTCTCTCCTTCCTTCAGTCCTGAAGGACAGTTCTATTAAAATTGAATCGTTAACACTGTTTCTCTCTCTGCAGAGGCTGCCAGACCTGTTGAGTTTTGCCTCTACTTTCTGCTTTCATTTAACGCTATATTTCTACTTTTTTCAAGTTGTGGAGTCACAGCAGAAACGCTGACGATGTCTAAAGAAAGCTGTGCATTTATATAACAATCTTCATGATCTTAAGATGTCCCAAAGCAGCACAGTCAATACAGTTCACATTCAACAAAGTACTTTTGAGGTGTAGTCACTGTTATAGAAAATGCTGCCATCAATTTGCCTACCACAAGCTCCCACAAATGGTAATGCGATAATTACCATTGTAGGCACACCATGGTTCAATGGTTAGCACTGCTGCCTCACAGCACCAGAGACCCAGGTTTGATCCAGCTTCAGGCAACTGTCTGTATGGAGTTTGCACATTCTCCCAGTGTCTGTGCGGGTTTCCTCCGGGTGCTCCAGTTTCCTCCCACAGTCCAAACATACGCAGGTTATGTGGATTAACCATGTTAAATTGCCCATAATGTCCAGGGATGTGCAGGCTAGGTGGCTTAGCCTTGGGAAATGCAGCATTACATGGATACAGTAGGAGGGATGGGTCTGGGTAGGGTGCTATTTGGAGGGGTGGTGTGGACTCAGTGGGCCAAATGGCCTGCTTACCCACTGTAGGGATTCTGTGAATTACTTGTTAGTGTATTTCAATGATGTTAGTTTAGGGAAAGATATTAGCCAAGACATCAGGGGGACTTTCCCTTCTCTTCTCTTCTTTAAGCAGTGTTGTGGAATGTTTTACACCTACTTGAGATGACAGATGGGCTTCACTTTAGGGTTTGAGCAGAATGATGGCACCTCCAACAGTGCAACACTCCCTCATTACTGTACTAGACAGTCAGCCTCAGTTTTGCACTCAGTTCAATGAAGTGCAGTTAAAGCCACAATTTTCGGACTCAGAGGTGAGATGCCACTTACCCTTAATGTAACAAATTTGATGCAGAAGATCAGATAAACGCTTCTCAAACTGTCAAGTATAAGGTTAAATCCCTTACAATTGGCTTGGAGCAATAGACATAATAAACACCAAAGGACTGACAACTTTAGACAATGAACAACATCGACAGAACTCGAAGCACAATGAAGCTTTGCTGAATATTCATTTTGAATCTCCTGGCACTGATCTGAGCTCCATTCCGACAGCACTGTCTGTATTAACATGTGATCTCGGAAGGAGCCTCATGTCGAATTTGATATACTGTCTCAGTACTACCTCAGTGTTTAGCAATCCTTTTCCAGCGATATCAGACAATAACATGTGCAATAAGTTGAACCAGATTGCAATATGTTTACACTCAGTTAGCAGACTGGTAACGAAAAAGGATTGGTTCCTGCTAAGAAATAGATTGAAGAAAAATTAAGTGGCAGCACCAACAAGCTAAGTCTCTGTGGATAGAAAAACAGCTATTGTATATTTAATGGAAAAAGAAATAACATTTCATGCAAGGAAATAGCCCTTACAAATGTGGATATCGATCCAAAGGAACTGCATTATGCCATGTGTATGTTGCTCTTCAAATCAAGCTGGTCTTCACTGAACCATTCCTCTTCTGTCACCAGAGTGAATCTCAGTGATCAAAGGGGAACTTGTGCTCTTAGTATTGGTGTGTTACACATGCATATGTTACTTTGTACAACATGGAACATAGCCTTTCCCTTCAAACAAGCAACTCTTTCAAAAGCAAAGACTATAGTCCAGTTCTGAGGATGGGTCACCAGACCCGAAACATTAACTCTGATTTCTCTCTACAGATGCTACCAGACCTGCTGAGGTTTTCCACCAATTTCTGTTTTTGTTTCTGATTTCTAGAATCCACAGTTCTTTCATTTTTTTTGTTTTATTGACTATAGCTCCAAGTTGTACAGATTATTCCTAAAGTTAAGGGACTCACATCCAATCCATTACTATTTGTGAAAAGTTAAATTATTTGTAACACAGTGAATATAATTTCTCAGGAAAAGACCTTTTTTGTTTCTGTTGTAGGATATGTTCCCAGCAGTCACTATATTTGTTAGCTTGAGTGAGTGTGTTTGTATGAGTGTGTCTGTGTATATATCAGTGTGAGTATAACTAATATTATAATATAATTCATGTCTACTGTTGCTCACGGATAAAGTCTTTACCTTTTTCTTTCTATAAACATTTCTCTGCTTCTTTCCATTCTGCAATGCTTTCATTCAGACTCGCTGTCCCTGTCCATTTTTCTGTATAAGATCTGGAAATTTTTATCTGTATGGTTTGGTTTGACATCATAGCACAGTTTTGCTACCATCATTCAAGTTCTTTCGATAATTTGTTAATTCCTTCCAAATCAGTGGCCTCTCCCACCTCAGAAGGACAAGGGCAGCGGATGCATGGGAACACCATGCAAGTTCCCTTCCAAGCCATGCACCATCCTGACTTGGAACAATATCGATGTTCTTTCACTGTTGCTGGGTGAAAATCCTGGAACTCCCTTCCTAACAGCACTGTGGGTGGCCCTACATCCCAAGGCCTGTAGTGATTTAAGAAGGCAGTACACTGTTGACTTCTCTTGACAATAAATATTGGTTTAGCCAGTGATGTCAACATCCCATGAATGAATTAAAAAAACTCCCCCCGATATGACATGAGTCTTTTATGATAGTGATTAGAAGATTTTCTGGGTGGAAAACCAGAGGTGCCGGTTAGACTGCTTTTTATTTCCTCTTGTATTAGACAAGGTGGGGGAGGGGCAGATCACCAGAAAGGTGCTACAACACAAGAAAGATGTTGACTGGGCAGGAGGTGACTGAGGAAGCAGAATGGGAGTCCTGTGATCAAGACAAAGCGAAAGATTGGTGTAAAAGGAGGACACTACTAGTTGTGCATGACAGCACAGAGACGAATAGGGCCAAATGACCTTCTGCACTGTAAGCTTCAATGCTTCATGGTCAACTAATATTATTCAAAATTTAAGATTACCATGCAAATCAACTAAAATATACCATTTTATATTCACCTTGAACTTCTGATCTATCTTCTCACAGGTTTCACTGGTTTGTGAACTTGAACTCTGCAGTTGTCTTTGTGGGCATTGCCTACATTCAACAATCTATTGCGAAAAACCTGGGCTTCCTTATTCCTTTTGCATCCATACTGATGACCCTTCTTACTATTCACATGGTGCAGAACAGACTTATATATCAACCCAAGTCAGGTAAGAGGAACCAGTATTTCAATTACTAGCCACTTTGGCAAGACTTATGTTGCAATTAAATTTTCCCAAGATTGTTTGCAGACTGAAATAATTCTGGGAATATTTAATTTAATTTAATTTATTTCCAATGCCAGTAGTACTGGATGAACACGAGGTTTATTCTATTTCTTGTTGCAATATGGCAGCACTCGCTGTTTGTACCTCATCCACAGGTTGACACTGTAACCAGCTCTAAATACACACATTACAGGCTGCCTGTTCCAGATTGTGCTGCAATCTTTCCCAGCCTGTTACAAACACAACTAAAAGACATACTGGGTAGACATCTTCAATGGGACAGGCTTCGACATACTTGGAGACGTTTGCTATCGTGTCCTTGTTTCCAACCCAAGGGTCATTTAACTACAGCAACCACCTCCAGTCCAACAGAAACTAATGATTGTCATAGTCTTTAAACTTGCTGCATGGAAAGAGAAAGAGGCAAGGCAGTTAAGTGCATGTGTAAACTGAGTCATTTCTTGCTCTGAGAGCTCATGCATAGACCCTACAATCACAGAGCACAAATGGAGGCCATTTAACTAATTCTGCATGTGCTGGCTCATTGAAAGAGATATCCAATCAGTGCCGCTCTCCATCACTCCAAAAATGTTCCCTTTTTAAATCATTCTTCTATTCTATTTATTTGTGGGATGTGGGCGTCGCTGGCTGGCCAGCATTTCTTGCCCATCCCAAATTGCCCTTGAAAAGGTGGTGGTGAGCTACCTTCCTGAACCGCTGCAGTCCACCTGCTGTAGGCTGACCCACAATGCTATTAGGGAGGGTATTCCAGGATTTTGACCCAGCAACATGAAGGAACGGCGATATATTTCCAAGTCAGGATGGCGAGTGGCTTGGAGGGAAACTTAAAGGTGGTAGTATTCTCATATGTCTGCTGTCCTTGTCCTTCTAGATGGAAGTGGTCATAGCTTTGAAAGGTGCTGTCTGAGGATCTTTGGTGAATTTCTGCAGTGCATCTTGTAGATAGTACACACTGCTGCTACAGTGATGGAGGGAGTGGATGCCTGTGGATGTTGTGCCAATCAAGCAGGCTGCTTTGTCCTGGATGGTGTCAAGATTCTTGAATGTTGTTGGGGCTGCACTCATCCAGGCAATTGGGGAGTATTCGATCACACTCCTGACTTGTGCCTTGTAGATGATGGACAGGCTTTGAGGAGTCAGGAGGTGAATTACTCGCTGCAGTATTCCTAGCTTCTGGCCTGCTCTTGTAGCCACTGTGTTAATGTGGTGAGTCCAGTTGAGTTTCTGGTCAATGATAACCCCCCAGGATGTTGATAGTTGGAAGTTCAGTGATGGTAACACCATTGAATGTCAATCATTATATAATTCCTTGTTGGATTGTATTACCAATTCAGCTTTCAACATTATTTCAGGCAGAGCATTCAAGGTCATAGCTTGCTGCATAAAGAGATTTCTCCTTAAACCTGAGATAGTAGGAACTGCAGATGCTGGAGAATCCGAGACAACAAGGTGCAGGGCTGGATGAACACAGCAGGCCAAGCAGCATCATAGGAGCAGAGAGGCTGACGTTTCGGGCCTAGACCCTTCATCAGAAAAGGGGGAGGGGAAGGGGGTTTTGAAATAAATAGGGAGAGAGTGGGAGGTGGATAGAAGAGGGATAGAGGAGAGGATAGGTGGAGAGGAAACAAACAGGTCGAAGAGGCGGGGATGGAGCCAGTAAAGGTGAGTGTAGGTAGGGAGTTAGGAAGGGGATAGGTCAGTCCAGGGAGGACGGACAGGTCAAGGGGGCGGGATGAGGTTGGTCGGTAGGAGATGGACGTGCAGCTTGAGGTGGGAGGAGGGGATAGGTGGGAGGAAGAACAGGTTAGGGAGGCAGGGACGAGCTGGACTGGTTTTGGGATGCGGTAGGGGGAGGGGAGATTTTGAAACTTGTGAAATCCACATTGATAACATTGGGCTGCAGGGTTCCCAAGCGCCAAGAAGACTTTCCACATCAAGCAGATGTTCACCTGCACATCTGCCAATGTGGTATACTGCATCCGCTGTACCCGGTGTGGCTTCCTCTACATCGGGGAAACCAAGCGGAGACTCGGGGACCGCTTTGCAGAACACCTACGCTTGGTTCGCAATAAACAACTGCACCTCCCAGTCGCGAACCATTTCAACTCCCCCTCCCATTCCTCAGACGACATGTCCATCCTGGGCCTCCTGCAGTGCCACAACGATGCCACCCGAAGATTGCAGGAACAGCAACTCATATTCCGCTTGGGAACCCTGCAGCCCAATGGTATCAATGTGGATTTCACAAGTTTCAAAATCTCCCCTCCCCCTACCGCATCCCAAAACCAGTCCAGTTCGTCCCTGCCTCCCTAACCTGTTCTTCCTCCCACCTATACCCTCCTCCCACCTCAAGCCGCACCTCCATCTCCTACCAACCAACCTCATCCCGCCCCCTTGACCTGTCCGTCCTCCCTGGACTGACCTATCCCCTTCCTAACTCCCCACCTACACTCACCTTTACTGGCTCCATCCCCGCCTCTTCGACCTTTTTGTTTCCTCTCCACCTATCCTCTCCTCTATCCCTCTTCTATCCGCCTCCCACTCTCTCCCTATTTATTTCAAAACCCCCTTCCCCTCCCCCTTTTCTGATGAAGGGTCTAGGCCCGAAACGTCAGCCTCTCTGCTCCTATGATGCTGGATAGATGGGCATTTGTTGATGTTGCTTTTAATGACCCTGCAAGAGAGAATGACCTGCAAGAAATGGGCTCTTCTTCTAACCATTAACTCACAAATGATTTCTAACTTTTTCCAGTTATAGGTCACCTGTGTGCAGTCTTGTCTGTAGTGGTCGCTGGGATATCAGAGATGAGCAGGAGAAACTTTCTGCAGGTGGAACAGACTCTGTCTGGAAAGGTGCTCCTTGTGTCTTCAATGCCTTGCTTTCATCTTGCTCCTCAGTACCTCTTGCTCGGAATCTCTGAGGCATTGGTCACACCTGCTTGTACGTGCAAGTCTCTTAGGTGATCGGTGATTCATATTGGAAAAGGCTTTACTTTTCATTTTGACTCACAGCATAGATTTTATGTTTTAGCACCGTAGGAAGAGATTGTGCTGAAATCTAAGTGCAAATGTTACATAAGACAAATGTTGTCTGCTTAATAATTTTCCAAATAATGGACTAGAATGCTCACTCTAGTGGACAAAAGCTGTAATCACCCACTCTAAGAGTGGAACGTTGCTGGAGAGAAAAGTGCACTGCACTCAGTAAGCACTGTGGCAGAACTCACCCAGCCTCTCATCCTGCCACAGGGAAAATCAACATAAGAAACACCATCACCTCCAAGTTCTGGATTGGACAATTATCATTTAAAGTTACACCCATTCATTTTAGATTAAATCCTAGAATTAGCTACATTGTACCACCAGCAACAGATATGTTGAGCTAAAGAAGAAGGTACATTATCACCTTTTCAAGGATGGGCAGGATAAAACTGACCTTTCCTGTGACAATTACATCCCAATATTTGTGCTTTTCTTCCTGTGTAAATTTGATTCCTGGTGAATGAAATCATTGTAAGGCACAGGCAATTGTGGTCAGTGTTGATGACACTGCACGTAGCCAATTTCCTGTAAAATATTGGGACTGAGCTTCTAAATTTGTATTTCTGTAGAGGAACCATGATGTACATTGACAAGACATGGGGTTGGTTCCCACAATTTTTAATGTATTAACTTTACCATCCCATTATGGTAAGGTTCCCTGCTGCTGGCAGAGGTCAGAACAAATCACTGTTAAATGTATAAAGAATACATGTATTTTATTCATATTGGTGTGTATAGATGTATATATACAGTACATTACATTCCAGCTATGTTGGCCTCTCCATAATATACTTGTTACAGATCTCAATGGGTGTAATTAAAGCAATATCCCCATAACAGAGTCTGCTCCCCAATAAATTTTAATGTGGCAGGTAAACCATTTATAAAATAGAATTCACTAAAATTTATCTTTAGGTAAATGTCTTAAAAATTATACCATGCACAAATCCCATTCATAATTGTAATTTGAATAGAGATGTCATTTTTTCAGTTTGGTTATTGCTTATATATGTATAAATGAATTGTTTGAAACATAAAAGCTATTGCTTAATTCAAGCAAGCCAAGGAATCAGCATAGCAAGCATTGAAAGCATTTTGAAAGTTAGCTACTTTAAGTAGTTGATTTTTATGCCTACCTTTGTTTACAGGTAAGCTGATTACATTCAGACTGTCTCCAAAGAGCATTCGAGGCATTGCAATGCAGTTCATGACACTCTTCAATAGTGCAGGCTGCTTTGTGGGAGCGATGATTATTCAAACTACCCACCAAGTATCTGGAGGTGAGAGCAGTTTGCTTAAAAGCTGTGTTTAAACAAAAATTGCCGACTGTTGTTAAATAAAACAGAATTTAGCACAAGTAAGTTTTGCTTATCATATAACATGAACATGAGCAGGAGTATGGTTTTATTATTAACATAGAGGTGCAGTTGGTCAGCTGTGCTCAGCTATAAAGCTCATATTGAAGAACCTCAGAGGCCTTTCTCTGAAGTCAGAGGTTTCAGTTCATTGTTAATGGTTCTTAAATACTTCCTTTTGTCGATAGGGACTTCTGAAGGACATGTTTTGCTCACTTTCAGACAGATGATGAAACTTCACAAACAGGCTTCACTGACCGCGTATCCCAGGAATATATATTATGAGAATACTCCGATAGGAAAATTGTAGTCTTTTCTGTGAAAAATAAACTGAGTTGCTTCTTAGATGGTTATTGAATAGATGAGTAGTGAGCACTTTTTTATAATAGAACCGTTTATTTCTAAGTTACATAGATTAGGATACCCTCTGCAGGAGTCCAGAGTCATCAATTTTAGCATTTCACTTGCAAAAGTTAAAGGTTAAGAAAAAAATGAAGAAAGAGTAAGAAACAATTTGCGTTAATGCAGCATCTTTCACATTCTGAGGTCAGCCCAATAAGCTTCATGGCCAGTGAATAAGTTTCATCAAACTGTAGTTGTGGTTATGTAGCAAATATGGCAGTCAGTTTCCACCCGACTGATAAGGTTTCACAGACAGTGATTAATAAAGCGGTTTTAGTGGTTAGCAGATGAACATTGCTGAGGGGCATTCTCTGCTTTTTGGAAAGAAAATGCGATTGGGCCTTCCAAGACAGTCAGATGAAATCACCAACAATAGACAGCACTTTGTTATTACAGCACTAAACTATCAATCTGAATGATATGCTCAAATCCTTAATTCAACTTAAAAGCACAGCCTCCAAACTCTGAGACAGGTTGCTGCCACTGAGCCTATCTATCACGTCAGAGAGAAATCAGCTCATTTTATCACCAAACCATCTGTTGCTTTCTACACTATTTGACATAATCTACAAATGGAAACTTTTGATTGAATTTGAATACTTTATTCAGGATCAGTTGTAAGTTTTCTGTGCCTAATGGAGGCAGCAGGTATAATCCCAGGAGAACTTTCCTGGTCACAATTGGCCAATTAAAGGCACCACCTCAATCAAGAGCCTTTGGATCTTCTTGTTCAGCAAAATGAGAATATCCTTTATTGTCACGTGTATTCAAGTAAGGAAGTACAGGAGTACAGTGAAACGTTTTACAATGTCACCTCTTATGGTGCCATCTTAGGTACAAGTACCGAGGTACAAATGTTAGATACAAAAAGATGAAGAAAAAGAAGTAGTTGCATTACTTTACAGTGATTTTTAGAATAAGTCTTTTTTTTAAAAAATGACCATTAAGAGGATAGCCATTATAGTCAGATTGCAGATAAACATTACATTGCAGTAACTCAGCATAAGGGCTTCCACACATGGTCTAACCACCTGTGCCAGACCCCAGTCCAACAACCGTCTCCGCTCCACTCCATGCCTCCAGTCCACTCCACACCAGCTCTCAGCTGTTCCAAAGGAAGTTTTCTCCGGGACCACTCCCCCCGACCCGGCCCCGCTCCAGGACCGCTCCCCCAGCCCCGACCCCGCTCCTGGACCGCTCCCCCCTCACCGGCCTCCGCTCCGGGAACACTCCCCTGGCCCCATTCCAGGACCGCTTCCCCTACCCCGGCCCCATTCCGGGACTGCTCCCCCCTCACCGGCTTTTGCTCCAGGACTGCATGCTCTCTCTCCAACACCCACCCCACACCTTCCCCACTCTTCTCCCTCTCCCCCCTTCCTTCCAGGTCCCCCTCCTCCTCCCCCCCCCCCCCAAACCCTGCACTGAGCCATCTCTCCTCTCCCCTGCATTGGGCTGTCTGTCCCGATGCTGGTCTCTCCCCCTGCACTAGGCTCAGTCTCCTTATCACAACTCTGCAACAGGATAACTCACTGCTGCCGATGCTGTCCAAATTCTTCACAGTAAATAAGTAAAGTGAAAGGTAAGTAAAAGACACAAAAAAAAAGCAAAGCAGATGGAGTGGATGAGCCCTGAGCTCAGGAGCCCTATTCCGCCCCCATCTTAAGTTTTTAAGTTTATTTTAGTTACTCTGTTTGGGTATGCTACAAGACATAGGACTTGCATCCAAACCTTCCAGCCCAGAGGTAGGGATACGAACTCTGTGCCACGTGATCCTAAGTATGATGCTATATAATTTAGGTCAACGTGGCCAAGGTCAAGGCCCAAGGGTGTAAGGGTGTCACGGTAACACCAACAAAGTCGGCCGCAGCAAGAGACTCCGACATTGTGGGTCTGGGTCAGGCAGGCGCATTGGTCCAGTGGTGAGACATGGCGTCTGTGGATCAGCAACTTTGATGTTTGTTGGGTCTGGTGTAGACAGTGACAAGGCAGTGGTGGCTCTTTAAGCTATATCTTTTAATTTTTCACTTTTTCTTAAACTACCAAAATGCACTGTATTGTGGCGACTTATGAAAGCTTTTCACTATACTTTATTGTATTTCTCACTGTGAAATACATGTGACAATAAAATCATTCATTCAAATATTTCATCATGCCTCACCCCAACAGCTGCGTTTAAAGAAATATCATTATTAATGCAACAGTTTTAACAAGAAAAGCTATTCAAATCGGCCAAAATACTTAGTCAAAAGATGAATATGCATATATACTTTTAAAACATTCTATTTTTTTTTAAATGGGCAGTTCCATTTTTCCAAAGCAATGTCAGTTGAAGGACCGTGCATTGAGTTAATGGGCATTTGTTAATGGGTACATTCATTAAAAAGAACATTTGATCAGGCATTGATTCATTCCCCACATTCTGTGCAGTTTGCTTAATATGAGTAATTGGCTAAAGGAACTGTTTTGCTCATGGTATTTTCATTATTAAAAGCTTTCTACTAGATCATACATTTTCTTCGTTAATTGTTTCAACTGCTCTTGGCTGAAGATGTCTTCTGAATCAAAATTATGCAGAAAAATAACTAGACTCAAGCAGGTTTTATCAAGCACAGCCATAGTGATGTTGTTCCTGGAATGTGTGAATCATTCTGACTGGGGCTAGATCCATTATGTCAGTTCATTACTTTTACTGTTTCCCTTTTCACTGGCTACTGTTTCCCAACAGGTAATTGGTTTCCAAATAATCTGAATGTTGGGAATTTGGACACATTCTTTTTTCTCCTGGCTGCGTTCATGCTTCTGAATATTCTGGGATTATGGCGAATTTCTCACAGGTATTTTATATTGAGAGGAAAATCTATGTTTCCATTTGGTTTACCACAAATAAGTGATATCTTTTCCCTCGTCACACAGATACAGAGACCTTCAACAGGAAAATGACCAATATGTTAAAGGAGTTCTTCTGGAAAAGCTAATGGAGCACGAAAAGTCTCTGAAATTCTATGACAGTGTTGTGGATTGGCCCACCTTCTCCTATCCCAGGGAGATCATACTATGAGAACAAATTCAAAGGGGGGTAGTGCTGGCATTACCTGCAAACAAACAGCCTGATTCTCTTAAACTTGCGCTGCAATAAAATGTGTTAGGAAACGGATGTCTGACTTACTAATTTTCTGTAGAACTATGCTTGTTAAAATTTTGTTATCACTTGCAACTTGTCACCTTGCTTTAGAGTACCACTTCTTTTCCCCAGGGGAAACTAGCATCATTTTAGATGAGAATGCGCTATTGTGATTTCCTATTTAGTTTATTTTTGACTTGGCAAACTTACATACTAATGCAAACTTGTGTTGGAGTTACACAAATGAAATATTTGGGTAAGTAAAAGAATATTTTTGTATCGTGTAGATCTATAAAGTTTAATACAAAAATATTTCATTTGCATCTGACATTTTCCTAATGTAAAGTAGCATATTCCTTAATGTTGAAATGTTTAATTTAGAAATTGCTTACATTTGAAAATGATGGAGAAAATTAACAATAAATGTACTCGACTTCAAAACTTAGTGCTGATGCATTGTTGGCATGTGGAATTTATAGAAAGGGTCTGGCGTTCTTGAACTTATTCAGTTTCAAAGGTCAAGTCTTTATTAATTGTGACATTCATGTGCATTACTATTAGTTATTTTGCAATGACTGGAGCGAAGACAGAATACTCTGAACACAAAAGACACTCCACTTAAAGCTCAATGTTAATTACAGTCCTGAGTGAACAGTCAGATCAATTACCATTACAGTCAGCTTCTGTTTATGTCTGGGCACTGTGACCATTAGACACCTGTTTTTTTTTCCCTGAAATGTATCAATATGGCTATGCAGAAAACTTTTGATGGCATGTGTTTCTTGTGGCAAGGACCTGTTTGCAGTGAGTCCATCAGGATTCTTTAAAATAATATTCTCTCAGTGGGTTATCAACTTTCAAGAGGAAGCTACAGTGGTCATGCTTTCTTGCATTAATAATGATGAAATCGTGACTTGGAAGTGTCTTCTGCATTTTTGTGTGTTAGGCATCCTAAGAAATGGTGCATGACTAGAAATATGTGTTCATTGCTAACCACATCAGAAGAAACCAAAAATTGCATGATTAATTTACAGCATCACAAACTGTGAAATAAATCAGAACAAGGCCCCTTTCAATTACTAATAGGTACATCTAAGATGTATCTAAGGTGAGGCATCTGTTCAGAAAGGCTTCACGTCACTAAACACTGATATATCACTGTTCCTCCTTCAGCTCAAGACACAAATAGAGTTTGTTCTTCAGCTTGCAGAGTTGCTTCTGCACTACATTATTGGTCAAGTCATCAGAGTGTCTACATTAGTCGAGGCTTATATATTACAATTAAACAGATTTTACTGATGCAACTGAATTGCTAACAGTTGAACCTGTACAAAGCATGGTGTAAAAAGAAGACAACCTCATATACACATCAGTCTAGGAAAAATGAAGTAGAACAAAACTGCTGACTGAGCAAATGCTTGTGGCTAACGGGCACTTGACCTTTGTGGTTGCAAAGGTTACGAAGTCAAGGGCACAGATATTTCCTGCTTATCTGACTCCATGATTTCAGGGTCATGAGGATCTTGGGCAGGGAACGTTCATTAAACATTCTGGAAGATTGGAAGAAATATATAAAAGGAGCATTAGGGACATCGGTACTAACAACCTGGGAACAACCATCATGGAAGGAAGACTTCCGAGTTTGTAAGTTAGCAAAGACTATGATCCATCGGAATGAACCTGGCCAGTTCATCTCGCACGGATATCTAAGACCAAGCCATGAGTCTTGTGATATAGTATAATGTGTATCAAGCTAGAATAGTGAGTTAAATGCAAAGATATTAATTAAACTAACTGAACAACTTGAGTACTAATAAAGACCAAGTTGTGCTGGACATAAGGTTGACTGCCTCCTTATCCACCATATCCATTGACGCCCTATAGAGGCAACAAGGTCAACATTAATCTATGAACAAAATGGCAAAATGATGCACAACTAGGGATTTAGTATTGAAAAGGTTCTGTGCACACACTAAACAATTGTACAGCACACAAAGTACCACAAATAACATAGAAGGTCTATAGTCTTTTCTTAACATTTTATTTTAATCTCGTAATGCAGGTTGAGGGAAGACAGTACACTGGGAGAACACTTCTTTTTAAATAACAGAACCACAGGATCTATTATATCAAACTGAATACTATGACATCTTGCATTGAGCTTAGTCAAATGTTTCAAGGCATCCCAAGGGACTTTGTTCACACAAAATTTGGAATCAAACCACATAAGGAAGCATCAGTTGGCCTAAAGCTTGGTCAGGAGGTATGTTGTCAGGGGTGTTTCAGAGACGCACAGGGAGGAAATTCCAAAGCCAAGTGCCCAAGGAGTTGATCAAATTGCTAATGGCATAGGGATGTAAATCAGGATGAGAGTGGCGCTAGAATGAATAAACACATATGTGGCTCAGTGTTTAGCACTGCTGCCTCACAACACCAGGGGCCCAGGTTCGATTCCACTCTCGGGCGATTGTCTGTGCAAACTTCACACATTCTCCCCGTGTCTGCGTGGATTTCCTCCCAGTCCAAAGATGTGCAGGCTAGGTGGATTGGCCATGCAAAATTGCCCATAGTATTCAGAGATGTGTAGATTAGGTGAGTTATAGGGGGATGGGTCTGGGTGGGACTCTCTGAGGGTCAGTATGGATTTGTTGGGCTGAAGGGCCTGTTTCCACAAAGTAGGGATTCTAAGATTTTGCCTGGATAGATGTTACAAGATAGGAAAGGATGAGGCCATGAGGGATTTGAACATAAAGAATGAGGTTTTAAATTGAAGACATTACCAGACTGTAGGACATAGGAGTAAGCAAACACAAAGGGGATGGATTAACAGGATTCAGGACATTAGCAAGGGAGTTGTGGATCAGGCTAAGTGTACAGAGATTTGAAATTTCTCTCACAATAAGTAAAACAAATCACACTATTCAAATATCCATGATAAATCAACCCACATTCAATGTGGGGAATGCACAGTAGCTGAACAAATTGTTCCTCCACACAGCACTGTTGTCTAAGCTCAACTATTTGTGTATAAATTTCACCAGTTCAACACTTGCAGGTTCCGATCGACTGTTTCATAAAACTCTACTCTTTCAGTTCATTGTAATGGAAGAGGTGTACATGTAGGATAGAAATCAGCTGCAAATCAATAGGCACATCTCTTGAATTCCGTCAATGGTGTAGGAATGTAATGTCACCTCCTGTAAATTAACTCTATATAACTGGTACCTTAGAATTAACCATTTGGTGACACAATATACTTTGGGGAAAGGTTCAGTGAGGTGTCATGAAAAAGAGTATGTTTCCATACAAAGCAGTCTGCAGGCTCTGAGGTGCTAACTGGGCACGCAAATGTCCGAGTATGAGATAATGCAAAGGATTCGGTCCAAATTCTTCCCAGATCCCAACACTGAGGGAAGAGACGTTTCCGTCCCGTCCACTTTGTGCCCAAAAACGTCCATTAACACACACCCAAACTGTTCGCCAAATTTATGTTTGTAAATCACATTTCTGCCCTATCAGGCTATTAACAAACTTCTTACAGAGCTTCAAAACCTATCATTAGTCGATGCCCGTTTGTTTTTGCCCTCCCCTTTGAAAAACGGGGTATGTCCTGGAGGGAGGTGCTGGGATCCAGAGAGCACCCTCCTGGACCACGGCATTTAAATTATTTCCGCACTTGCTCCTGATCCCATTGACAATTTACAGAGCTGGTTGATAACTTTGCTCCAGACGATGGTGGAAGTATCTCTGTCCTTTCAACAGTCAGAGTTTTACTGTTTCCCTCCTCTAATTATTCTTAATTTGGAGACTCAGAGCTGTCAAATACATAAACTATTCTTTCCCAACGTGATAACAGAAATAACAAGTCTCTACTGCAGTGCAATGTGAAATACGAAAAGATTTTTGTTTCTCTAAGAGCAGAGAGCACAGGAGGTAGAGGTTATTCTTAGCAAAATTCACATAAAGATGAGTAATGCATTCGCAGTGGTTGGTGATGGGGTTGTCACTGTAACACTGAATTTAACATAAACTTATCAGTAACCCACTACTCACAGGAACATGGTAAATGTGCCTATATAAACTTAGCCAATTGAAATTTTCATTTGGTGCTACACTGCATCATTTAAAGTGTCTTTGGTCAAGAAGACACCAAGCACCCATTTAAAGCATTATTTTAATTGAATGTTTATACAGGTCAGGAATATTAACACTGGAATTAAAACACACTTGCATGTTTAAAATTCAGTCTTAAGGTCAACACTCTCACAGAATCATTGAATCCATACAGTTGGGAGCAGGCTATTCTCCAGACCCGCTCTATCCCTGTAACCCTTCATTTCTTATAGCCTGCACATTCCTGGACACCGTGGGCAATTTAGCATGGCCAATCCACCTAACCTGCACATCTTGGGGCTGTGGGAGGAAACCCACACGGACACAGTGAAACGTGCAAACTCCACACAGACAGTTGCCCGAGAGTGGAATCAAACCTGACTCCCCGAGGCTGAGAGGCAGCAGTGACTCACCATACCACCCTGTCTCATGCTAAAGTTATGTGCAATCTAAAGCTCCCTTTAACCTGCCTTAAATCGGAATGCAATATCACTTGAAATTGCTCAAAAATCACTCAAAAGCCTAACACAAAGGATAGCACAGCTTGAACAAATGTTTAATTCACGTAATAATGAAATAACAGTAAATTTAACACCTCAACCTTGAAAAAAATGTCAAGATGACTTGATGGGGAGGTGGTTTTGAGGTTACTCTGTTGTTAATGCAGGGGCTGAGGGTTGTTGTCATCATCACCTTCAGGTGCAGCTGTGGTTCATTGTCTTCTGACTGTTTCTTGGGGGTTGGCTTAAAAAAAGCCAGTTTTTGCTGCTTTGCCCTTTTTCTTCTTTCATGAAGAAGCTGTTCATAGGGTGCCAAATAAGATCTTATTCCACAAACTGCTACCCTGCTGGGTTCTGCATTGTAACTG